GGTTAAGGTGCTGGACTCCCACATGGCTGACCAGGTTCAAGTTATGGGCCTGGTGGCTTTCTCTCTTTCTCTCTCTCTCTCTCTCTGGTCTGGTCTCTCTCTCTGCTGAGCACATGCACTCTAAAGCCATTTAGGAACAAGGAAAGGAAATCTGTGCAGCCGCTATGACTCAGTGATAGCTTGAGTGCCCTGCGAGGCTGGAGGTCACATAGCCGACTGTGGGTTTGAATCCCTGGGTTGGCTTTAAAAATGCACCAGGCGCCCAGGTTTCTGAGGAGCTAGAGGGCTGGGGAGGGGGATCCTGGTGTGATGAGACCCTGTCCAGGGTGCTTCTCTGTCTATCTTTCCTCCATTCATGCAGAGGTACTCTCTATGATTAAAAAAAGAGAAAAGGATAGAAAAGAAAAAGCCAGGACAGGGACCAGCAGTCAGCGTAATGGCTATGTCGCTGGACTCCCACATAGTCGACCGCGGTTCATGTCCCGGACCCAGTGGCTTAAACTCACGCCAAGCGTGTGTGCGTGCGTGCCCAAGATCCCAAGAGGAGAATGGAGGAGAAGGGATTGCAGTGTGACCATCCCCCCTGGAGGGGGATGTCTTTCTGTCTCTCTCTCTGTCTGGCCAGTGCACACGCCCTATGGCAAAAACCTTTAAAAAAAAAAAAAAGAAAAGAAAAAGCCAGGACAGTACTCACTCCCGCCCTGCCTCTCTTGTGGGACTATTGTGAGGCCCAAATGAAATACTAGCTCTCAGATGGCTGGGGAGGCTCATCGCCGTCCAAACCACACGGGAAGGATAAACACGGATCCCGTGACACCACTGATCTGGGGACGAGGAGCAGGATGTGACTAAGCAGAGCTGTACAGCAACCCTCTCTGGACTTTTGTGTCTGCAATTGTTTGCAATAGAAAATCCTACAGGTGGGACCGTAGATGACGTAGTGGTTACGTTGCTAGATCCCCACATAGTTGACCTGGTTCAAGTCCCGGACCCAGTGGCTTAAGATTCAAGCCGGGCACATGTGCGTGCCCAAAATCCCAAGAAGAGAATGGAGGAGAAGGGATTGTGACATGGTCAATCCTCTGAGGGGGGTGATCTCTCACTTTTTGTCTGTCATTTCTCTGGTGAGCGTATGTGCCCTATAGCAAAAATTTCTTTTAAAAAAAAAAGAAAAGAAAATCTTGCAGGCTACAGAACCGTATGGGATGATGCCAAGCCACCACTGGTCTTCCTCCGTTGCCAATGCTCTGCCCTCCTTCCAGCCATGGGGAACCACTGCGACCATTTGGGAGGACCCCAGGACTTGGAGAAGATCCCGAGGGGCAGAGGCAGCCCTCCCCCTCCGCCGCGGGAGGCCTCGCTTGCAGTGCGAGGGCTGCTGCAGGAGCTGTCGTCCATCCGGCGCTTTCTGGAGAAGCGGGATGAGATCCGGGAGGTGGCCCGGGACTGGCTGCGCGTGGGCTCTGTGCTGGACAGGCTGCTCTTCCGCATCTACCTGCTGGCTGTGCTGGCCTACAGTGCCACCCTGGTCACACTCTGGTCCATCTGGCAGTATTCTTAAGTGGGTGCAGCCCCGCAGGGGCTGGGGCTGGTTAGGATGGGGAGGAAGGACTTCTGCTTAGATCCTTCCGGGCCCAGGGGCTGCCAGGGACATTCCTTCTCAAGGCACGGCTGCAGTTCCTCCCATTTCCAATGCTGATTCACCTCAGCAACCCTGAACCACAGAGTCTGAAGCCTTACCCCAAAACTTGATGTTCAGATTCTTCCGTCCACCGCTTATCCCCAACTACCCATTACGGCTTCAAAATATATGCTCTTAGGCCAGGAGAAACCTCAGCATGCCCTCACGTCACTCTGCTCGTCTGTGCATCAAGCCTCAGCTTCCCCATGGATGTCCCTGGATAAGGCATTCTGGAATTCTCATTCCCCCTCAAACTTGTTTGTAGGTTGGAGGTAAAAACAGCCTTCTATGACATGGCTCGGCAACACTGCAGTCAGTGTACCTGACCCCCAACACCCTATTTCTTCTCACCCGTAGCCACTTCCCTGAGCACTCATGCTCCATCCAACTGTGGGAATGGGTGGGGGTAATAAAATGCAATGAAGCCCTAAACTCTTATTTTATTGAGGACATTGAGGACGTGAGAGAGAGAGAGAGTAAACACACTCGATGGGGCATGGTCACACTGCATTTCTCCTTCATTTCTCCATTGCATTTGGGATTTTGGTCATGCATACATACACACCTGTCATTTTCCCAAATGTCCAGGGCTGGGATTTGAACCTTGGTCAGTCATGTGGAGTTCAGCTCCCAATGCACGACACCCAACCCCTGTGCTACAGGCCTGCCAGCAGCTTGACCACTTGTCAGCAGCTTTACGGAAAGGCTGTGTGTGTGGAAGAGGAGGTTTCAAGATACTGGCAGGAATGAGGTTTGGAAAAACTTGTCGATTCAGGTGTCTGGTGCTTTGTGGCCTGGGGAACTGAGGGGGGACTCACTGCTAACTGCTGCAAAGCAGCAGAGGTGGGACTTGCGACGTGAGGGTCAGGACGTGGACACTTAGCAATGATGGGGGGAGGGGGGTGCTCTGCTGCACCACCCGCTGGAAAGAAGCTGGGAGTCCAGGCAGCCCTGCTGTCGCTCTGGGCTCTCCTCACAGACGGACCCTGCAGTGGCGACAGGAATTTCAGCACCACGGCCAGCATCCATTGCCTTGGCCTTTAGGGAACACCAAGAAAATCAAGGCTTAGATTTCCCTGTCTTTGGGAACTTTTAGCCGTCAGTCCCTGGCATAGCCACAGAAATCGGGACCCCAAGAGAGACAGTTGGGGGAATGGCCATCGATCTTACTTCTCATGTCCCGGCCCCCTCTCTCAGCCATCAAGATTTAAGACTGGCAGAGGAAGACCCTAACTCTTCTCCATCTGCCCAAGAAGCAGAGAAAAGGAATATGAGACCACACCAAGGGTGACCAGATGCAGTGTCCACAATCTATGGTGAGCTTTATCTGGTTCTCCCAGCCTTACTCCAGCTTTATCCTCTCCATGTCTTGGGCTGCCTGTCACTCAGAGGAAGGCATGGGGGAGGGGGATTAAATAATGCCAGGCTAGAGGGAGAAGACCCAAGAGGAATATCTGGGATGAGTTCTTATATTTTTACTGCCTTCCCAGTTGTTCCAGGCCAGCTAATTATAGGGCTTTAGTAGGGGACACCTGCCACTTACACCCTCCCATATTCAACCTCTGTCATTCTAGTTCATAAACCATCCAGGACCTTGGGAGCACTGAGTCTGAAAGAGCCTAGAGGCTGAGGGAAGTCTTGCCCGGGTTAGCATCTCTCAGCCTCCTCTCGCCCAGGTTTCCCACTTGCAAAAGAAACTTATTAAACACTCACTGGTGAGGTGAGCCAGGAACAAAGTTTAGCCTGCTACCTCCACCCCAGACAGAAGTGCTGTTGGTATTAGTTATCAGGGATTAGTTAAGGATTTCATGTTTACCTCCCTTTTGTTGCTAGCTTGGGATCAGAATCTCCCAGCAAAAAGCAGAGATTGCGGGGTTGAAGATGGTTGCCCCCTGCTGAGCAGAGACTGGGCTTGATAAGGGCACTGTCCTCTCACCTATCTCAGGATGGTCCCTGCAGCCTGGTCTCTGATGAAATCCCTAGGACTTGCCCAGGCCAGTCGTGTGTGATGGGATCTTCATGTCTTAGACCAGAGGAATAGGAAGGTGGACAGTGGTGTCAATGCACCACTGGGCAGTAAGTGGGTGGCTATTGACAAAGTGTCCCACCAGCGAACTAGTAAGACACTAATCAGCCTATTGATTCTCCATCTCCCTCCCACCCCCTTCACCTTCAATCAATGGGGCAGCAGAGCCCAGCATGGAGGAGCCAATTCACCATGTGGAGAATGAGCTGCCTCGTGTAACAGCTTCTGCTCCACAAGCCACATCCAGTCAGCTCATCCATCTAGCATCTGGGCCAGGGAGGGGAAACCGAGGCCCAGGGCCAGAATCCCCTGGTGCTCTAACTCCTGCCCATAAATACTGATCATGGTCTTCTCTCAAGGAGACCCTCTGCTCTGCCTGGGATATGCCAACATCCAGAATCTCCCTCCCACATGTTAAACCCCCCTTCCCACCCGAGCGTCCTCCCTTCCTCTTGCCAGTTCAGCCCAGTTGCCTGGCATTCCATTTCAAGCCTGGAGAGGAAACCAGAAACCGCTCAGGCCTTGCAAAGCACTTCTGAGCCACTCGCTGGTTCTCTCATCTCTTCCCCTGCAGCCTTCTCTGGTCACCTAGGAATACTCAGGTTCTCTCTCTGCCCCATCCACCCTGCTCTCCAAAGCTGTTGCTGCTACTAAAAGGATTCCATTAAGGGTGCTGAAAGTGGCCAGCCCAAATGCTCCAGCCCTCTGTGGATTCACGATAGGCACTGTTCCAAAGTCATAACGCTTCCTGCCACGTTGACCCTGGAGGGAGGCTGCCTGTCCTCCTGGACCTTAGCAGCCTGGGTTTGAGCATACCGAGGGTGCCCCCCAGGAGTGGACAGGCACTCAGCTCTCAGGGCAGCCCAGGTGGGGCGGCTGAGCTCAGAGGTTGGGACGTGAGCTTGGGCTTGGGGGGATTTCCTGGAGAGAAGACGGAGGAGGAGAAGCTGCAGTGGGTGAAGGAGGGGGCAGAAGAGCGAGGAGAGGTGTGGTTCAGCAAACTGAGCCAGACCCCCTCCCTCGCACTCCCCCAGCCTCTGAATCAATACGTTTTGCATCTAATCTAATAACAGAGATTTAACGAGGGGATAATGTGTGTGGAACGTCAGGCGCTTTGTGTCTCCTTTCATGCAGCAGCTGGGGCCCATTATCTGGGGACAATGCCCCATGCTAATCACTCCTCTCCTCCCTCCGTGTTGGGGTGGGGTGGCGGCAGGAGAGGGCAACTCCTCCTTTGATTGGAGGGGAGTGGAAGGGAGGAAGTGGGGGCGAAGTCAAAAAGGGTCTGGACAGTCCCCACACAAATGCCTTGACCTGACACTTGCCAGCGTGTCCCCGGGCCCGCACTGTCACCCTGACCAGCGAGAGGTCGGGAGCCCTACAAACAGCAGATAATTAACCGGCAGCGGCACCAGGGCTGGAGCTCAGTGTTTCTTTTTTTTCTTTTTTCCTTTTCTCTATCTTGGCCCTCTATAATTTAAGGTCTTCCATTGAGGCCTGTGATTGGCCCGTCCTGACTGCTGTGGTTACAGAGTAAACTGGTTTTACAGGCCAGAATATCTCTCAAATAGATGGCTTCGCATCCCTGTTATCTCGGAGGTGTGGAGGTCAGACTGCAGGAAGACCTTCCCAGTTGTGTTACTGCTGACGTGAGCGAGGTTGAAAGTCTGAAAAGGAAGGAGGGGATCTCATTTTTTAGAAACCTTTAGAGAGAAACTTGCCTAGGTCGGGAAGGGACAGGTCGGGAATGTCGGGGAGATCTGGATTTCCTACCCGCAGTCTAGTGGAAGGAAGCCCGAGTCGCACATTCGCACACTCGAAGCCTGGCTCATTCCTTTCTGCACATATTCGCTGGGGGCCCCCTAGAGTGAGAGATCCCAAACTGAAATTCGCCCCAGCACAGGCCCGCCATGAGACCGCGCCTCAATCTTCTCACCTGTAAAGCAGGGGTCATGTTAGTGTCTGGCTCAGAGGTCCAGGACGGGGCAAAAGCCCAGGGAACTCCAATGCAGCTGTATTCAGCCCTCTGGGGCAGTCACATGTGCTCTTAGGAGGAGTGAAGGGGAAGTCTTTATCCTTCTAGTCTCCACATTAGAGCTGGCCACTCACCATAAAGACAGGGGGCCTGAAGAGCCTGTCTCCACCAGGTGGAACTGAGACCTCAGTGACCTACACCTGTGCCCCCTGTTATCCCATTACTGACCCCCTCCTTTGCCCTGCACACCCAGGCGTCTTTGCACAGAATTCCTGCCCTAACACCACGGCTTGGTATTCCCAGGAAGAGGATGGAAGACTGGCACCCTTGGGGATGCAGGGGACCCATCCTGATCCTGCTGGGTCTCTCCTATGCAAGGCCAACTCCGATGACCCTGTGTCTGCAGAGAGAGCTGAACTCTTGACGGAGAGACGTCTCCTAAGTATGACAGCCAGGGCTTGGGGAGCCTGGAAATTCACTTCCCTGTGCTTGAGAGAACACTCCCCTAAGACTCAAAGAAGTATCTAGCCTCTGGCCCTCAGCAAGGCGTCAGTCTTCCGCCAAGGGCAGCTGCAACTCTGCCTTCTAGATTCTGTCCACAAGGTGGCAGCAAAGTCCAGAAAGTCTATGGCCGAGTCTTCACGACACATTTTATCCCTCTTTCCGCTCCAGTCTCCCCTTCCATAACCACCAAATAAAAGTCCCCGTTCCTCTCTAGCCTTAGAAGTCCCTTTCCTTCAAGTCCAGCCCTTTCTTTGCATCCTGTTCTGCCATTCTGGCAAGGCTGCCTGCCCCTGCCTCATCACACAATGGTGGTCACACCCACCCTTGAACACCTGGGCCCTGCACACGTGCCTGGGACTAGACCTGACACCTGGCCTCACTGTCCCACTTCTGCTCACGTGATCAAGACACATGAGGACTTCAAAGTCCAAGGGAAAATGGAATTAAAGTTTGGGTTTATTTGGACACAGATGACTTTGAAGCCCATGCATTGCGTTTGCATCTTCCACAGGCATCTTCCAAGCACGTGGTGAAGACCCCATATATTGGGGCTGGCAGGTAGCCTGGTGGTTAAAGGCACTGGACTCCCACATGACCGACTATGGTTCAAGTCCTGAATCTGGTGGCTTGCTTTCTCACTTTCCCTCTCTCTCTGTGTCTGTCAGATCAAACTGGAAAGTAACAATAATAATACATAAAGTTAAAATAAAATAATTTTTTTTTTTAAAAAAAAGACCCCATTTATTGATGCCTGACGGTGGAGGAAGCTGGTTTTCCTTCAAAACCATACACATACACGGGCCCATGGAGGACTCTTTCTCTCCTGCCCACGT